CGTGATCTGTAGTCTCCAGAATCGAAAGAAAATGACATTTTGGGAAAATCGGCCAAAATCTGTGATGGTACCCCTTTGCAATCTGCCAAAAATTGACCCGGATTAAATCCACTCAAATCGGTGCTTAATGGACTTAATCATCGTTGAAGAATAGTCTCAGGCCGAATCCGTAATCTGTAGCCTTCAAAATCCAAAGGAAATGGCTTCTCGACGCCCACAAAATTACGAAAATGTCATCCGAAAATAAATTGGCCCAAATCGGTGCTTAATGGACTTATCATTCGTGGAGAATAGGATCAATAGGCTTCATTATCGGTGGAGAATAGCCTCGGCCTTATTCCGTGATCTGTAGCCTCCGGAATCGAAAAAAATAACATTTCGGAAAAATCGCCCAAAATCTGTGATGGTACTCCTTTGCAATCTGCCAAAAATTGACCCGGAATAAATCCGCCCAAATCGATGTTTAATGGACTTAATCATCGTTGAAGAATAGTCTCAGGCCGAATCCGTGATCTGTAGCCTTCAAAATCCAAAGAAAATGGTCTTCGACGCCAACAAAATTACGAAAATGCCATTCGAAAATAAATTGGCCCAAATCGGTGCTTAATGGACTTATCATTCGTGGAGAATAGGATCAATAGGGTTCATTATCGGTGGAGAATAGCCTCGACCTGATTCCGTGATCTGTAGCCTCCAGAATCGAAAGACAATGACATTTCGGAAAAATCGCCCAAAATCTGTGATCTGTACCCCTTTGCAATCTTCCAAAAATTGACCCGGAATAAATCGACCCAAATCGGTGCTTAATAGACTTAATCATCGTCGAAGAATAGTCTCAGGCCGAATCCGTGATCTGTAGCCTTCAAAATCAAAAGAAAATGGCCTGTCGACGCCCGCAAAATTACGAAAATGCCATCCGAAAATAAATTGGCCGAAATCGGTGCTTAATGGACTTATCATTCGTGGAGAATAGGATAAATAGGCTTCATTATCGGTGGAGAATAGCCTCGGCCTGATTTCGTGATCTGTAGCCTCCAAAATCGAAAGAAAATGACATTTCGGAAAAATCACCCAAAATCTGTGATGGGACCCCTTTGCAATCTGCCAAAAATTGACCCGAAATAAATCCGCCCAAATCGGTTCTTAATGGACTTAATCATCGTTGAAGAATAGTCTCAGGCCGAATCTGTGATCTGTAGCCTTCAAAATCCAAAGAAAATGGCATGTCGACGCCCAAAAAATTAAGAAAATGCCATCCGAAAATAAATTGGCCCAAATCGGTGCTTAATGGAATTATCATTCGTGGAGAATAGGATCAACAGGCTTCATTATCGGTGGAGAATAGCCTCGGCCTGATTCCGTGATCTATAGCCTCCAGAATCGAAAGAAAATGACATTTCGGATAAATCGCCCAAAATCTGTAATGGTACCCTTTTGCAATTTGCCAAAAATTGACCCGGAATAAATCCGCCCAAATCGGTGCTTAATGGACTTAATCATCGTTGAAGAATAGTCTCAGGCCGAATCCGAGATCTGTAGCCTTCAAACTCCAAAGAAAATGGTCTGTCGACGCCCACAAAAATTACGAATATGCCATCCGAAAATAAATTGGCCCAAATCGGTGCTTAATGGACTTATCATTCATGGAAAATAGGATCAATAGGCTTCATTGTCGGTGGAGAATAGCCTCGGCCTGATTCCATGATCTGTAGCCTCCAGAATCGAAAGAAAATGACATTTCGGAAAAATCGCCCAAAAGCTGTGATGGTACCCCTTTGCAATCTGCCAAAAATTGACCCTGAATAAATCCGCCCAAATCGGTGCTTAATGGACTTAATCATCGTTGAAGAATAGTCACAGGCCGAATCCGTGATCTGTAGCCTTCAAAATCCAAAGAAAATGGCCTGTCGACGCCCACAAAATTACGAAAATGTCATCCGAAAATAAATTGGCCCAAATCGATGCTTAATGGACTTATCATTCGTGGAGAATAGGATCAATAGACTTTATTATCGGTGGAGAATAGCCTCGGCCTGATTTCGTGATCTGTAGTCTCCAGAATCGAAAGAAAATGACATTTTGGGAAAATCGCCCAAAATCTGTGATGGTACCACTTTGCAATCTGCCAAAAATTGACCCGGAATAAATCCACTCAAATCGGTGCTTAATGGACTTAATCATCGTTGAAGAATAGTCTCAGGCCGAATCCGTGATCTGTAGCCTTCAAAATCCAAAGAAAATGGCCTGTCGACGCCCACAAAATTATGAAAATGTCATCCGAAAATAAATTGGCCCAAATCGGTGCTTAATGGACTTATCATTCATGGAGAATAGGATCAATAGGCTTCATTATCGGTGGAGAATAGCCTCGGCCTGATTCCGTGATCTGTAGCCTCCGGAATCGGAAAAAATAACATTTCGGAAAAATCGCCCAAAATCTGTGATGGTACTCCTTTGCAATCTGCCAAAAATTGACCCGGAATAAATCCGCCCAAATCGGTGTTTAATGGACTTAATCATCGTTGAAGAATAGTCTCAGGCCGAATCCGTGATCTGTAGCCTTCAAAATCCAAAGAAAATGGTCTGTTGACGCCCACAAAATTACGAAAATGCCATTCGAAAATAAATTGGCCCAAATCGGTGCTTAATGGAAGGCTTCATTATCGGTGGAGAATAACCTCGGCCTGATTCCGTGATCTGTAGCCTCCAGAATCGAAAGAAAATGACATTTCGGAAAAATCGCCCAAAATCTGTGATCTGTACCCCTATGCAATCTGCCAAAAATTGACCCGGAATAAATCCTCCCAAATCTGTGCTTAATGGACTTAATCATCGTTGAAGAATAGTCTCAGGCCGAATCCGTGATCTGTAGCCTTCAAAATCCAAAGGATATGGCCTTTCCAAAAAAATCGCCCAAAAAATTACGAAAATGTCATCAGAAAAATAAATTCGCTCAAATCGGTGCTTAATGGACTTAATCATCGCCGGAGAATAGGATCAATAGACTTCATCATCGGTGGAGAGAATAGCCTCGGGCTGAATCCGTGATCTGTAGCCTCCAAAATCGAAACAAAATGACATTTTGAAAAAATCGCCCGAAATCTGTGATGGTACCCCTTTGGAATCTGTCAACAATGGACCCGGAAGAAATCCGCCCAAATCGGTGCTTAATGGACTTAATCATCGTTGAAAAATAGTCTAAGCCCGAATCCGTGATTTGTAGCCTTCAAAATCCAAGAAAAATGATATTTCCAAAAAAATCGCCCAAAAAATTACGAAAATGTCATCCGAAAATAAATTCGCTCATATCGATGCGTAAAGGACTTATCATTCGTGGAGAATAGGATCAATAGACTCCATTATCGGTGCAGAATAACCTCGGCCTGATTCTGTGATCTGTAGCCTCCAGAATCGAAAGAAAATGGCATTTCGGAAAAATCGCCCAAAAATTGTGATTGTATCCCTTTGGAATCTGTCAACAATGGACACGGAAGAAAGCCGCCCAAATCGGTGCTTAATGGACTTAATCATCGTTGAATAATAGTCTAGGGCCAAATCCGTAATCTGTAGCCTTCAAAATCCAAGGAAAATGGCCTTTCCAAAAAAATACCCCAAAAAATTACGAAAATGTCATCCGAAAATAAATTCGCTCAAATCGGTGCTTAATGGACTTAATCATCTGTGGAGAATAGGATCAATAGACTTCATCATCGGTGGAGAATAACCTCGTGCTGAATCTGTGATCTGTAGCCTCCAAAATTGAAAGAAAATGACATTTCACAAAAATCGCCCAAAATCTGTGATAGTACCCCTTTGGAATCTGTAAAAAATGGACCCAGAAGAAATCCGCCCAATCGGTGCTTAATGGACTTAATCATCGTTGAAGAATAGTCTTGGGCCGAATCCGTGATCTGTAGCCTTCAAAATCCAAGGAATATGGCCTTTCCAAAAAAAATTGCCCAAAAAATTACGAAAATGTCATTCGAAAATAAATTCGCTCAAATCGGTGCTTAATGGACTTAATCATCGGTGGAGAATAGGATCAATAGACTTCATCATCGGTGTAGTATACCCTCGGGCTGAATCTGTGATCTGTAGCCTCCAAAATCGAAAGAAAATGACATTTTGCAAAAATCGCCCGAAATCTGTGATGGTACCCTTTTGGAACCTGGAAGAAATCCGCCCAAATCTATGCTTAATGGACTTAATCATCGTTGAAGAATAACCTCAACCCGAATCCGTGATCTGTAACCTTCAAATCGCCCGAATCTGTGATGTTACCCCTTTGGTACCTAAAATTTCTAAAATTATACAAAATTAAATGATACATTCAGTAAATATCATCTCAAAATGACCTTTTGGTACGTCCTCTCCTGCCCAGTTCTCTATGCTATTTGGTACGTCCTCTCCTGCCCAGTTCTATATGCTATTCTCCTTGGTTAAAGCCGTTTTTTTTCTGTTTCTTTATACACTTATTTCACGATCTGAATTCATCTTCTTCTCCTCTACGGTGAATTTATGGAATTTGAATTGTAGTAACTATACATGGTTGCGATGAGAGAGAGAGCTAGAGAGAGTGAGCGGCGCCAGAGTGAGAGAGCTGGGTTGAGGTGAGATCGTGTAAGTTTCCTTTCTTTTGCAGGTCTGCGGCAGAGAGGAACGGCGGCTATGAGACCCAACAGGATGTGCTGAGGCGACATGTGAACGTGGGCCACAAGACTATTCAACTGGATGAGTACCGATGGCCAAGGGGAAGCTTATCCCAACAACTCATAGTTATTGGGATAAGATCTACGATTGAATCTCTCCCAACAACTCGAGTTATTGGGATCAACTGGTTTTTCACATTAGCCACTTAGCTAGTTCATATTAATTCATACTTTCATAGTCACCTCGTAGCCAATCACCACATACTACAAAGGTTTTCTTTTTTCAATGTAACGTGTAGAAAATGACATAAATATATTCATTCATCGTCCCCCAATGGACACAAAAAAATCTGGGCTTTGAAGTTCAACCGATCGTTTAGCTGCCACGATGCATATCTATGGGGGAAAATAAAACGGATAGATAATAGTTAGTCGATAAGTAAGAGCATAATAATAACAGAACGCGGGATTGGGAAGGCAAAATGTATCAAATCTTCACGAGAGAAAAAAATTACTGGACTCTCCAGTGTCGACTCATCTCCTCTTCCCGTTTCCTTTCCTTTTCTGTTTCGGTCTGCTTTCTCTTTCTGTGACTGGATTTTCCCTTCTCTCCCACGATAAGATCGCCAGGCAATCAACACTAAGCGCCCCTTTTTTTTTTTGGCTTTCTGGTTTATGTCTTAGTTTCTCTTCGGCTCTTCTGCCTCCATTTTCCTCTCTGTGTAGTAACCAGTCTGTGCAAAAAACAGATGATTAACGTTAGACTTTGCTCTCGTGAGTTGTCGTCTGAACTCTAATCACCTCCTTCGCTTCGTCCTCCACGTTTGTTCTCTCTCTCTTTGTGTTTGCCTGTCCCATGCAATCAAGGTTGAGCGCAGTTTCCATTTCTGGGTATCTCAGGACAAACCCTTTCTTCGTTTCTTCTCCCGGCCTTTCCCCAATCACCAGGAAAGGAACGATTGATTGGCTCCTTCGAACAATCCCTCTTCTCACCTCGTACGGCCATGGAGGTGGGTCGTCTTTAGCATTCGCTCCCCTTCCTCTGCCTTCTCCCTCCCATTGCAGGTGCCACGAGCCCACGACAGGTTGGACTCATGAACCCATCTGTGATTTTCAGTGAGATTCAATCTGATGACCACATTAGCGTTCATGAGAATACCCCAAATTGAATGAATACCTTGTTTTCTGATCCTGTTTTCTGCGGGGTTGTTCTGTTTTAGGTCCTTTGCTGTAGTTCTCTTAAAGAAGTGGGAATTGGGGGATCTTGGCACTTGTGGCAGGGCAGCTCAGGTTTTCCTGTGTGATCGATGGGGATATCACGGGATAACTTTCATGGACTTGTACTGGCTGTTTCTTCCAGCATTTTCATTGGCTCCAGCTTCATTGTCAAGAAGAAGGGCCTTAAGAAGGCTGGCGACACTGGAACCAGGGCAGGTCTAGATTATGTCCTTCTATTTCATTCCCTTTCCCCTGAACCATTAAAATTTTGTTTCTTTCAGTAACTGGTTGGTTTATCATTATAGGTGAGGGAGGCTATTCCTACTTGTATGAACCGTGGTGGTGGGCTGGAATGGTTACTAGTAAGTTCCCTCACAAATTCACAAGCTCCCTACTTCATTTTGAGATCTTATAATATAAACCAAGGCTAAATTACACGTTTGGTCACTCAAATTATACAAATCTTTCATGTTTGCCACCCGAATTACTTTTCTTTCTTATTTACCACTAACTTTACGAATCGTTTCACCGTTAGTCACCCGCCGTTAGACTCCGTTAAGTTTGTCCTACGTGGCAGTCAACTATAAAGTTTGACCGTTAACTAAATGACGTGGAAATTAAAATAAATTAAAAAATAATTTTATTTTTCCACTTCATCATTCCACTTACTTTGTCTATATGCTTTATTATATTTATGATTTAATTAAAATTAATTATTAGGGAGAATTTCTCCTCTTTCCACGTCATCTGCTTTCCGATGCGGTGATTGAATGGAGAAGGGAATGGAAGGCAGGAGAGGCGGTGAGGTGAGGTCCCTGTAAATTGACTGTAAAATAAGAAGAGGGTGGTATCATTGCACATCACTGAATAAGCAAATGCAGGAGAGCCGAGCTTCAACTCACCGACTCTCGTCCTAAATCAACAGGAGGAAAATGGAGAAAGAGAATTCAACGATCGAATGGCAATCGAGAAAAAAAAATATATACATAAACAAAGGAGAGAAACGAGGAAACGAAACTAGCAATACCTGTATTGAAGAAAGCGATCGGATGAAGGAGAAGGAAAGCGAAGCAGAGAGAGGCGAGAGAAATAATTCTTGACCGGGCGTTCGATGGTGACGGCGAAGCAGAAAGAAGAGGGAAAATGTGAAATGTGCGGTGGGAGAGGAGAGAGATGGCTGGTGTCACTTCCCGATGGAGAGAGTGACAGCGCTGGCGATCGGACGACGAGCAGAGTCGGTGCGAGCAGCTAATGTGGGTTGGGTGAATATCCGCTGGCTTCCAGTTTGATTCGTCCGTCCGTCCGACTGGGCTGGTTGGGCTTGCAGTGAACTCCTTTACTTGGCCCAGAACTCAACCTGAATACCAAACCTTGACCATAGCGATGATCCTGAACCAAGCTCTATACCCCTGCCAAAATGAGTAAACTTGAGCTAATGAAGGCACCATTAACCATCCACTAAGGAATCCATACATTTATCTTCCAACTAAAAGAATCTTATTCAATCATCCTCTTTCGGGTATCCAGCATATTCGTGCAAAACGTGCTGATCCCAACTCAAGAGCCCATGTCAAAGTTGGAAACTAAATAACAAGATCTCATCTTTATGCATTGAGCTATGTACAGCTATGAACCAATGCACAGAAACAGCATTTGGAGACAACCCACACAGTCAAAAACCCTAAAACCCCTAATCGTAAAAGTGGTAAGAAGATTCAATTTGGAAGTAGCAAAGAACTAACTCGTTAAACTTTCTGTGAAAGTACCAACGGACCTCCCCTGATTTCCTTGTCATCCAATAGCCTCTGCACCCTCTTCTCCTTACAATACAGCCGATCGAAATGCTTCACCTAATCAAACCAAACACCAAACAAAACAAACCCCAATTTCCCAATTCAAATTTCTTTTATCGGAGAAAAATGAATTTCAACTATCCCTGGCGTTTAGATTCAGTTCAGATCATTTTTACCCAAGAAGGCCGGCAGCTGTTCTCGTACGCAAGCCTCGATTTCTTGCACTCGGCCGGATATAGGAGCCCGACGCAGCCGAGTTCCGTCGGTTTCTTGTCCGATTGCTTCTGCAAACAATCGTAGAAAGCATCGCGAGCCTGCAAATTGTTTACCAGATTCGATACCATCCTCTTCTTATTTTACAGTCAATTTACAGGGACCTCACCTCACCGCCTCCCCTGCCTTCCATTCTCTTCTCCATTCAATCACCGCCTCGGAAAGCAGATAACGTGGAAGGAGGAGAAATTCTCTTCCTAATAATTAATTTTAATTAAATCATAAATATAATAAAGCATATGGACAAAGTAAGTGGAATGATGAGGTGGAAAAATAAATTTATTTTTTAATTTATTTTAATTTCCACGTCATTTAGTTAACGGTCAAACTTTATAGTTGACTGCCACGTAGGACAAACTTAACGGAGTCTAACGGCGGGTGACTAACGGTGAAACGATTCGTAAAGTTAGTGGTGAATAAGAAAGAAAAGTAATTCGGGTGGCAAACATGGAAGATTTGTATAATTTGAGTGACCAAATGTGTAATTTAGCCTATAAACCAATCTGGAAGCTGAAAATTTTCTGAATAACCTTGCTTCCTTTTCTTCATTATGTACAGTGATTTTGGGGGAGGTTGCTAATTTTGCTGCTTATGCATTTGCCCCTGCAATTCTGGTGACTCCCTTGGGAGCTTTAAGTATTATCTTCAGGTATGTCCAAAGAAAAAACCCCTTCTGGTTGCCTTTTCCTGTGAAGGAATTGGGTTGTGATGGAAACCATAATTTTTGCAGTGCAGTGCTAGCACATTTCATTCTGAAGGAGAAATTGCACATCTTTGGTGTACTTGGATGTGTACTTTGCGTGGTAGGTTCCACAACCATCGTCCTCCACGCTCCACAGGAAAGAAATATTGTTTCAGTCAGAGAAGTCTGGCACCTTGCTACAGAACCAGGTAACATTTAATAATGCCTACCCATCTTAGGTTTTCTTTCTCAAAGGTTTCTGAAATTATGAATCTGAGTAATCTCTTTCGTTTGGACAGGTTTCCTAGTCTATGCAGCTCTTGCTGTGATTGCAGTTTCAGCTCTCATTTTCTACGCTGTCCCACGATATGGCCAGACTCATCTGATAGTTTATGTTGGGATTTGCTCTCTCATGGGTTCCCTCACGGTTAGGTTTCTCTCTGTGCGATGTGCTTATTTGCTGCTGCTTTCTCTTCTTCTTCTTCCTTCTGGTAACAGTCTCTTTCTATACAGGTTATGAGTGTGAAAGCTGTTAGCATTGCTCTCAAGCTTTCATTTTCTGGGATGAATCAGTTTGTTTACTTCCAGACATGGATCTTCACCATAATCGTTATCACCTGTTGTCTTCTTCAAATCAACTACTTGAATAAGGTAATTTTCAACTTGCCCTTTTCGGCTTGAATAAGCCTCTTATATGCACATCTATGCTTGGAATCACAAATTCTATCTGTGCAGGCACTGGACACCTTCAATACGGCTGTTATTTCTCCAGTCTACTATGTGATGTTCACCTCGTTTACCATCCTAGCCAGCATGATCATGTTTAAGGTATATGTTACTGGTATTCCCATGGCCAATAAAGCTGGTGATCACCAGAATATCTAACAGTACACTTCATTTCTCTCCCTTCGGTGAAAAAATATTTTAACCCAGGATTGGGACTCGCAGAATGCGTCACAGATTGCTACAGAACTGTGTGGGTTCATCACAATCCTGTCTGGCACATTTCTCTTACATAGAACAAAAGACATGGGGAACACCACTTCTAAGCCAGATGAGGAAGCTCCTGTATTTGGAAACACAAACAACAGAACCCCAGAAACTGCTACTTAGCAAAGAAAAAGGATTGCTGGGTTTTCCGGAGTCAGGGGAATTGAGTTTTGATCTCTTGCAGTTGTACAGAGCAAGTAAGTGGGTTGCACAGCAAACTGACCAAAGAAGTTTAAAGCCATGGTAGCCCTGGTTTGGGACCAAAGAGAAACTTTTGAAAGCCACACCTTTTCTTCTCCACTTTTCCCAGCTGAGTTAGACAGATTTCCAAGATATGAAGGTCAGAGCATTGGGGTATACCTTAGATGATGATATAAGATTAGCCGATTAGAGATTTTAGGGAGAGTTCTATAACATACTTCATCTGGTTCTGTTCTGTAATATCTGTTCATTACCCCCTGCTTCATGTAGATTAGTGAAATTTGTATACAAGAGATGAATTTTCGATTCTTTTGGAGTTTCTGCTGTTTCATACCCTTATAAATTGGTGAGTTTTTAGTTGAAATTTCATTCAACAACACCCTCTTATGGTGAATTTGGTACTCCAAAACTCACCATTCAAGTTCTGCATTCAAAGCAATCCAAAAAATATAGGATTCCGAACCAAAGGAGAGGCCAGGCTCAATTCTAGGCCACATAGGGTTGTAGAAAGCTGCTGAAAAAGGGGATTCAGAACATCAGTCAAAAGAAACCCTCCTTTATTTAGATGGAAACGGCTAGAGATACAGATGGTATAATATAACAAACTTTGCACTAAACACAGAAAATTTATACAGCCATATCTAATCAAATACAATAGAAAATGAAACAATGAACAATTTGTTGCATTTTCACAAATCATCAGTTTCTGTCTCTCCCTCAAGTCTTTTCTACACTTTGTGGACCCAGTTTGTGTCAGCTCCTCACTAAACGGGATCATCAGGAACTAGATCGAGTTTATCCATCCACAATGAATTGGTCATCTTGAGCATCTTCATCTACTCTGGTGTCCCCATGACATCTTGAGCATCTTCATCTACTCTGGTGTCCCCATGAACCATACCGTTCACATGGTGCAGGTTCTGCATAATGTGGGAAAGGTAATGATTGTTAGCACTCGTCGTGTGATCTGAGAGTCCGGCTGGGTGACCACCCCAATGTGCAACGATCCCCAGCAACTGGCTCGTGAGATTCTGCTGTTCGTGGAGAAGCCGACTCTGAAGCTGCCCCATTTCTTCTCTGTGCTGGTTTAACATCCCATCGTTCTTCTTCTTCCATTCCAACCCCCTCCTGGTCATCCTTTCCTCCCACTCCCTCTCTTCAAGAACCTCCTCATCTCTTCTCCTTCTATCCCTCTCTTCACTTTCTTTCTCCATTGCTTCCCATTCTTGAATTCTCTGTCTTCTTAAGTTTTCCCTACTTTTATCCTTCTCTTCTCTCTCTTTCTCCCTCTCTTCCAACTTCCTTTCCAGCTCTTGCTGCCTTTCCATTTGTGCAATATCTCTTTGTTGCCTCTCCCGATCCCTCTCCACCTCCCGTTGTTCAAACCTAGACTCGATCTCTCTCAATTTCCCTACTTGGGTTGAAAGGAAACTGAACAGCCTCTTCTCCAATCCCTTCAATGCCTTCTTCTTCCTCTTATTTCTCTTCGTATTATTATTGGGAGCAGTCACTTCCACTTCTTCATTAATGAAACCTTCATCCATATCCTCCCTAACCCGGCCATTGCCGTTGTAATGATGCTCATCTTGCTCTTCTCCTTCATAATCAAACCCTAAACCTAGCACCCCATTCTCAGTCCCATCAATCACGCCGAAACCTCCATCCGCTGAATTCCCCAAATGACCAAACTCTACAATGTCCAACCCTCTACTACTACCCCCCAACAAAACCCCAAGTCCTCTCCCTCCTCCATTCTCCCTGTCCTCACTCAACACTCCCATCAACTCATTCCCATTAGTTCCATAAGAAATGGGCAAATCCCCAAATACTCCCTTCTAGAGCAGGAAGTTGGACCAGTGAGTAAGGCCTTCCACCCAGTCAAACTCATCTCCCTCCGAATATTCTCCCACACCGTCACCGCCAGCTTCAGCCCCATCCACGGCCATGGAGAATTCGGGCTTTCTCACCACCTTCTGCTTAACCAACAAGTACTGATGCCTCATGTTCTGGACCTTAGTGGACACATCTTTCCATGTCCACTGCCAAGGATGGGCAATCGGATCGCGAGCATGGTGGACCGAGTTCACAAACAGGGCAATCGGTCTGAACTTCTTCTCCCGCGTTTTCATCTTGGCAAGTGTACCATCGGAGACCATCTCGCCGTACTTGGCGATTAGGGTTTTCTCCTCTGCTTCCGTCCACTTCTTTCTCTTTGGTGGCATCATCACCACCCCAATTCCACGATTCCAACAACAGCGCTGAAAACCCTAAATCCGAACTGGGATGGAAATTCCAACTTGGAGGCACAAAAACATTGGGATAGACCAAGAGAATCTCGACCTAGCCCGCCCTCCCAATTCAATCGCGGTATAGAAATGATCACTGACCAAGGACAGTGGTGCTTACCTAGGAGTGACTACATCAGACTGCAGGAGGGAGGATAGGATAGCTGGCTTCAACGGGATGGAGAGAGCCTCCGGCGCCGACGGGTGATTTTCTCGGGAAAATTAGGGAGAGAAAGTAGGGGGGAATCTGACAGAGAGCGATCAGAAAGTCGCAATCTTTTTTCTCACTTCTGGAAGTGGAAATGGTTCTTCTCTTTCTGCGTTTTACCGGTGTACTGGTATTTAACTCAATTATAAAAAAAAAAACTAATAATAATTCCCGCGAAAAAAAACGGTCTTGTTTGTCTGATAGAAAAATGAAAATTGATTTTCAAGTTTAAACTTTCGCCCAATAGGACCGCGCCAATAGAATGATAGAAAAATGAAAAATTATTTTCAAGTTTAAATTTTCGTTTTGAGGGTGGAAAGTGAAACGACAATTTAGATCGGTTAAATTTTTGCTTTCGGCGCACCATATATTTCCCTGAAAAATTCTCTAGTTTGTCTGATAAATTCTCAACGAAAATCGTGGACCAAACTCGACCATACAATTTAGTTCAAATTTTAGACCGTTAGCAATGATTTGATTTGACTAAACACCGCATTATAATACGTCTTAATCTCTTCATTTGGTCTGACCAAATCACGATTATCGAATCAAATCGTACTCAACCACTTCCATAACATCAACCTAAACAGAACCCCTTTGGTAAAATGACCTGTTGAGGGCCTGAGGGGTCTGATAATGATGCAAATTGAGGCCATCGAACAAGAGACGGACATCGTTGACGTTGATCCCGAGCCCATCAGCGAATGCCGCCATCAGCTTCCACAGCTTGGTGCTCCGACTAAGCCTGAAGAAGTATCGCCTACCGGTCTTCAACATCCAAGATTAGGTAATCGACAGAGAAAACCCAGATACCCAAAGCCAAGAACAACATCAGATCAGTAATTGGGCAGAAAGATTTGAATATGACTATTCAGGGGTTTGATATTATTACCGGAGTCTGCACTTCGACGTTTATCTTCCGCGTCTCATCCCGATCCATTTGATGTGAGGACTGAGGACTCTGTTCTACAACAAAAGGAAGAAGAAGAAGAAGAAGAAGGAGATAGGACTACAAAACTCGATCCTTTCCAATATAACTTCCGAGTGGATTTCTGCTTTTGACTTTGAGAGGTGATGTGGGATTTTGATCGGAGTGAGGAGGTCACCGGTTTTCGGGTTTGATTGTGACAGTCAGTGATTTGTATGAATCGGATGGGCCGACAAAAAAAATGAAAAGAGATCAAAGGATACGGAAAGAAACAAAAAAAATGAAAAGAGATCAACTTTATGTTGATCTCATTACAGATATAGAGCAATCCATACAAGTACATAACAAATTAATGGTCGGATCTTCTTCCGACCCTCTTGCAACTCAAACTGGACAACAGAATACTACAGAGCAAGACCAGCACCAGATACTTGTATACAATAATCAACTTGCAGACTCTGAAGAATGGGGATGCCACAGTTTCCAGCAACAAGCCTATTAAACAATGCATGATCAATTCATGTCAAGTTCAAGGGAATGTGGGAGTGAGAGGGACTTCTTCGAGGATACATGTTTTTCAGCAACATGGGACATCGGTGAGGCTTCTCGTATTAACTCTGTAGAGGGTAGTCAACGAGGACATACGAATGTCAATCTCAAGGATGCAGGAGGGTGCGCAAGGGGTTGCCTAATCCCCCGGCAAGATAATATTGATCCATGACTAGCTGAGCAGCAGGTTTTAACTCTGTTGAAATCCTAATGCAGCAAGGAAAACCAGAAAGGATGACCGACTATTACTCCTGATCCATTAGGATATGATGAATAATATCTAACATTAACCATTCCGAGGCAATACAGCAACAACGCCGCATTCCCAGTCTTAAAATAGTACGAGAGGCACTTGAAAGGATTCCGAGAAAAGAAACCCAGCATCATGTTAACATGTAGGGTTCCTATCTCCAATCACGGACATCAGAACTTAATCATAACACACAAGGAGGCAAGTCTGCAAACCTGAAACAGCCTCTACAAAAAGTGCTCAAAGAGACAGCTGCTCCATTCTCCTGTTGTTTGCTGACGATCCACGTCCCGACCTTCTGTCTTCCTGCTGCTCATCATATGGGTTTGCCCTATAATGAGAGCTAGCCTCCTCATTGTCAGAAGAACCTGGTCTTTCAGTGAAGAACTGTTCCCAGAACACATCATTCACACGACCTGGAGCAGCAGACGCTATGTTTGGTTTCTCATCACTACTCATGCTTCGGTTTCTAGGAACAGACCTCATGTCCGGTTCTTTATCCTTGACATGATTAAACCTCAACTCTGGAGATGTTCTGACTTCCTGATGACCTGCTTGAGCCATTTTAGATGAATGGTTCTTGTCTACTTGCAAGGAACAGGATGCCAGAGAGAGATTCAAGTGGCATGATATATGACCGTCAGCTTCATCATAACTACTCAAACTAGGTGAAACTTTCTTTGAGAAAGCTGAATCAACCATAAACATACATGAAGTCCCGGTATCTGAAAGGTCTAAGGTTTCTGGTGCTGAAAATAGCAAACCAGGTGTCCTCAATGGTCCATCTTTGGGCGGCTCTAGTTCGCTAAATTTCCCTTGTGCACTAGCCTGGTCCTCATTTGAGCTCTGAGTGCTGTGAGATACCAAATTAATATCCGAGACAGCAGGAGATAGCTCTAACCTCAGCTTATTGGAAAAATCTTGGTGATTGATGGCATTTCCAAACTCTGGTCTAGAGCTAGAGTCAAATGCATTGTCAACAGCTGGCCTTGATTGATCAGCTTCAGGCAAGCGTCTCTTCTTGCTGTAAGCAGATACATCCATCGCTTCAATCTTCTCGGTAAGACGCTTAACGAAGGAAGGATTTTGAACAGCTTTCTCTAGGAAGGATAACAAACTGTCTTGCCTCTGCGCAAGGGTATCCACCCGCTGCGTGAGATCTTCCAACTGAGCTTTTTCGGTTGACTTCTGCTTCTCATACCCTACAAGACTAGCCTGCAGCTGAGCCTTCTCACGGGAGAGCCGCTCAATCTCATCATCAAATGCTGCCCTTTCAGGATCCAAAGAACCACCTTGAGGGTGGCTATGGCTGTGGATTGGCTTCCGCCTGTGGATATTTTTCAGAAGATGCTTCTGATCTTTGATAAACTCTTCATTGGCGAACTCCCATTTCTCAGGATCAATCTTCCTGAATCCCTGTCACAAAATTCCCAATTTAGCTTCTTTTTTTGGGAACATTCAGAATCCAGAAAACCCAAGCCATCACAGAAATACTGCTGTCTCGAAACAATCATATAGAATCACATGGGAAATCACAATAACACAAATGAAACCCAATTGAAACCATTCAGGAAACTGAAAGATTCAACCAATTGACAGACTAAAATTGGGGAATAACGCGAGAAAGAGAAGGAAGAGCAAAAATGGAGCAGGGTGACTTACGTAAGTGTTCAATTGGCGGATGAAGCTGGAGAAATTGTTGTGCTTGAAGTAGGTGGGAAGGAGGCGCCTGGCGAATTCCGGAGGATCCCAAACCACGAAGCTATTGTTGGACGAGCTCCACGAGACGATGCCGTCGGTGGAAGAGTCATCCACCATGTCGTACGTCTTCACCAAGAAAGGGGCAGGCCCTCCACCTCCGGCGGCCGCCGAGGTTGGTGGGATCGCCTCCATGCGACTTGCCCCGACTTTTACTCACCTGGGTTCCGGGTAAATTTGCCGGATCGACGGCAGATTTACGCAAAGTCGACGCCTTTATTGATGGTAGTTGGAGAATTTTGGGGATCAACCGAAACCGAGTGCTGGCTGAGCAGCAGAACCAGAAGGTGGGAAAGGATGGCGGCAGACCTCCGGGAGACGGCGGAGGGAAGAGAATTTTAAGAGAACACGCGATTGGCTTCTGCCGGCGATCCTACCTGTCGGTCAAATTGTGTTGCTCACTATTGTTGAAGGAGCGTTTTCAATAAGTCGCTAATTGTGGAAGCGTTTTTCGGTTCCTTTCCCTTTCTCCAGTCCCTAAACTAACCTAATCTGAGAATTTCTTGTACAAAACATCGGGAAAAAATCCCACCGTACACATATTTTTTTAAAAAATTCTCAAAATACACACGTTATGGAAAAAAATCCCAATCTACACATGTTTGGATATTCACCGCGTTAGAGCAAGGCGGTGATTGCATCACCGCTTTAAAGAAGAGGAGGAAAACGGTGATTGCATCACCGCTGTAGAGGAAGACGATGATAGCTTCACCGCATTAAACGGCCGCGGTGAAGGCCTAACCTGCGTCGAAACTTTAAAAAAATGTAACTTTGTGCTCGGTTATCAGATCGTAGCGAATGTTTTTATGATTCCGCATAATTTTTCGAGATCTTGCAAGCCACAAACAGTCAATGGCGATTCAGTCCCGCCTTCGTCCCGAAAAAATGTTGTTTGCTACCCCGAACGTGCCTTTTTTCGATTTCGTCAAACTTTGAACGACCATAACTTTGTGCTCCACAATCCGAAATCACGAATTTTTTTTTATTTTGCATAACTTTTTAAGGACTACAATTTTTAGTAGGAGAGAATTTTCAAAAAATGAATTATTTTTGGATATACGGGGTTTTGGGAATAACTTTACCTTCCTTTTTCAGGAATTCAAGTACATTCCGAAATTATGTCTATGATAAAAATTGTAGTCCTTAAAAAGTTATGCGAAATAAAAAAAAAATTCGTGATTTTCGGATTGTGGAGCACAAAGTTATGGTCATTCAAAGTTTGACGAAATCGAAAAAAGGCTCGTTCGGGGGTAGCAAACGACGTTTTTTCGGGACGAAGGCGGGACCAAACCGCCTTCGAGATTACCGCCTTCCTCTACAGCGGTGAAGCAATCACCGCCTTTCTCTCATGCGGTGATGCAATCACCGCTTTTCTTTAATGCGGGGATGCAATCACCGCCTTGCTCAGACGCGGTGAAGGCCCAAACATGCGTAGATTGAGAAATATTTTCATAACGTGTGTATTTTGAGAATTTTTTTTTAAAAACATGTGTACGGTGGAATAACATCATTAGCATGAAAAAAAGGTACTGGTACTGCGTTGTATAATAACCACTATGAAATCACTACTATAAAATCACAACGAAGAGATAACTATTTTATTACAATATTTTTAGTATACAAATAATCATTATTATTGCTATAAAATAATCACTATTTTTTTCTTATAAACCCATGCATACACAACTTTCTCATCCGTCAAGGAACCCACAACCGTCCTTTGACTTCCTTGATGTCGTCTTTGTAATCGATAACTTCCGCCACTGTGATGATCGATAATCATTTCTTCCATTGCTTTAAGTTTCACTAGCAAGTCCTTCTCTCGAACGAAAACATTTTTTAAGATTTTTTATTAACATTGCTTTCTTTATCGATTTAGTGGTCAGTCAGATCTGGGAGGTAAAGTCAAAGTGGGAGAGGGAGGAAGAGAGATGGTTGAAAGGGTGAGGGGAGGCGACTGTTAGTGGAAAGATGGGCAAATACATAGGATTAGGGTTTGTATAAATAGGATCTAAATAATCTAACATGAACTCCAATTAACTGCAAACCTCGAATTGATATTTTTTATCTAATAGCTAAAAATGTGGTTAGAATGGTGATAAGCCTTATAATGATTGTCACACTCCCTAGTATTCTCATTTCTCCCGAAGGGGTGTACATATAGTACCATTACACCTTTCTTAATTTCTATGTATATGGGTGGATTCTAGTCTTCATGCATCGGTCAAACTTCAATTATTATTGAATATAAACACAAAACATAAAAAGTAGGGATGGCAAAAATATCCGAAACCGTGGATATCCACCCGAATCCGTCCTAATTGGGTAGGGTAAAACCCGAACCCGAAGCATTTTTCGTGGGTACGGGTAAAACCCGAACCCGAATATTGTGGGTAATGGGTGGGCATGGTTATCTCACTATCCTACCCGAACCCGCCCAATTATACACATGCATATGTATTTTGTCTAGAAATAATCATTATTTTTCTCTATAATATTTTATATTTAGCATATAAATATAATATTTTTATTAAATTATGTTGTTTTAATTAATTTTCGTCATTCTAGTGAATTATTGTCGTACTTTTCCTCTTACGTAATGTGAGTATACGTGTGAATGTTAACATATTGGTTGGAATTATAGGGAGAAATTATTACCCATGGATAACCGTGGATACCCGAAACCCGAACGGGTATGTGCATGGTTTTGATTTTCTACCCATTTCTCGTGTAGGTACGGGTATGGGTAAAACCCGAACTACATTGGGTAGGGTAACGGATATGCACTATCCGCCCCCGACCCGACCCATTGTCATCCCTAACAAAAAGTGACAATAACCAAATTCATTGAAAAACATAAAAAAAAACATAAAATAAATGATGAACAACAAAAAAGAATTCATAGGAAATAATTTTCTACCACGAATTCTACTAGAATGACTCTTTAGAAATCATCAAGAGAGAGTCCGGTACCCTGCAACTTTTGCTCAGTGAGTAGGTCAATGCGATGAGCCATTTGGGGCGTTAAGTAGTTCTTCCAGCCCCCCACGGTTCCTTTCCTGAAGAAGGAGCTTTTGGGTATGATGGGTGCTAGCTCCAAACCCTCGTCACTCTTATTAACCTCCAACTCCTTGAGCCTGTTCAAACTGCTCCGCCACAACACCTTCTCCACCTCTGCATCTCCATTATCTTCATCCAAACCGAAAGGCTTCCTGAGAAACGAAGCCAGCCTCCTGACCTGCTCCTTGGGCTCTCTGCACAGCTCCTCGTACTCGAGAAACAACACCTTCTCGGGCCGCCTCCTGCTCTCTTCCCAGTACTCCACCACGTGTTTGTAAAATGGCCCGTACGGGATGACCCCACCGCAGAACCCCTCCACTGCTCTCTCCATCGTGACATCGGGCCCCGTTTCGCTCTCGAAGATTTTGTTGTAGAAATGCCACATCGACACCACGGTGTCCTTCGGGTTTCGTGCCACGTGGACGAGCTTGCACGACGATCCGGAGCTCCTCACGGCCTCAGGCAGGCAGCTGTAAGGCAGATGAGTGTGGAGCAAACGTGGGCTGGTGGTGGTGGTCCGATTTCAAATACTCTTGGACTTGGTCGCCGAGGTAGAACATGTCGATGGTTGGAACCAACTCGTGGGGTGTCATCTTCGTCAAACTGTCTTCTTCTTCTTCTTTGTCGTCGCGGTGAAGGATGCTGTGACAGAGAGCTATGAGCCATGTGGTTCCGGTTTTGGGGACGGAAGTCAAGAGAACAACGTCGTCGGTTCTCGGCTGGAATTCTGACCTGAATGCGGCTATGGATTCCATGAAGGAGTCGAGGTACCAGAATCCATCTATCTGCTGCATCTCGGAGTCGAGGTACAATATAGCAAGCTCGAGGTGATTGCGGGCTCAATTCAACTATAATGGAACGTGGACAATGACATAAGACTGCCACAATGGGCCACAAAATTGCAGGTATTTGATTAAATGAAAGATATGTTCTTACAAATCAAATAAAAATTTGTAGAAACTCCCACAAGAAAGAACTTCTCTTTTAACTAAGGGGTCGTTTGGATTGAGTATTTGGGGGTGTTATTTGGGGTCAAACAACACAAAATCTGTTATTTGACCCCAAATAACATGTTTGGCTGACAAAAAGTGGGATGTGTTATTTGGATGTAGTATTTTGCCAAATAACAGATTTGAGACCAAATAACACAAAAAAAGTGTTGTTTGCCAAATACTTGGGAGGGGCAGGTATTTGCCAAATAACAAGTTTGAGACCAAATATCGCATACCAAATAACAAGTTTTATATTATGTGGTAATTGTCCCCAAACAACAAGTTTGTCAAATACTCAATCCAAACGACCCCTAAGACTTAACATGCAATAATTAAATGTAGGCAAAATACACTTAGGACATGCAATAATTTTGCAATTTGTGACAATAATAACAAACTCCTGAAAAATAAACTAAAAATATCAAAATTTTGAAAATATATTTAATAAATTTCGTCATTTTCATTAAAACTTTTATACAATTATAAACAATGATATTAAAGATAACGAGACGCTGACGTGGATGCCACTTCAGCTCCCACATCAACTCCTACACACCACGTGCCCGCCACTTCGTGCCAATTCACTTATCATTGAACAATGGACGCATAAGCATAATCACATGAACACTTAACCATATCTGGTGGTACTCCTTACAAGGAGTTCACTTTTAACACTTCGTCGCCTCTTTTCACTCGTAATGAATGAGTGCAAGACTGGATGCATTATGTTTCATTTAGGCGTGATCATATATACTTTTAAAGCTAGTATGACATTCACGTAACATAGTCTATCTCGTTCCATTTGCCGGATTAGTGCTACCTTGTAGCATACCGTAATCAATCATTCACAATCATTTTGATATGAACTTCCCATAACCTCTGTTCGTCACCTTAAATACTAAGCATTCACCATATTCACCAAGACACCAACATAGAATTCGTAAGCATAACTCATCATGTAAGTTCTTTCACTATGAGATAGTTGAAAATGGAACAAGGCAGAGAGATTTGACGGAGGGAATGAGGGACAAGAGGATAAGAGAAAGGGAAAGGGAATAAATGAAGCAGTCGAATACAAAATGAGTTTGAGAAAATATAAATGATACCGGTTTGGTTTGTTCACGCCATACCATATCGAACCAAATAATAATTCAATTCAAACGGTTTCAACCAAATCACTATTTTGTTCGAACTCAGTTGGAGATAAGAGGCATACACCAATTCAGTTCAGTTAGGAATCAATGCGGATCGATTTCGACCGAAACGACGAAAGAACTACCTGTTGCAACCGAAATGCAACCATGTTACCTTTGATTTGTGGCTTTTATGAATTGAGTAACAGCTTCTTATTCTCAGTATCCCCCCAAGAGATTGAAAACAAACAAACTCTTCTATGACTTGACATCAACTCTCCTTTCAGCTTCAACATATCCTTCAGCATATCTCATCCACAGTCCCTTCACCACTTTGCTCGAGTGACTTTCAGCCCACTTGCTCAGCTTCTCATAGGTCTCCTTCTCGTACTTTGAGTACACACTCTGGTACATGCATTGAACCCCACATAATCAAAATCAAAACCAAAATGTTTCATTCACAGTTTACCTACTTGTTTTTCTTTTGATGAAAGGCTGGATGAAGTGATTCACCCACCTGAAGATCAAGGAGATCATACAGTTCTTTCACTTTGGCGACGCAGGCTGGATCCTGTTTACCATAGTTTTCCTGGCAAGCAACGCAAATTATACTGGTTCTTGAGTCTCATGGGAATAAAAGGTATTAGAAGAATGCATGAATCTTTATGCAGTCTTATAGGTTTACTTGTAACAGTTTCTTTTGTTCCTCGTTCGCAAGCTCTAGTGCTTTGACCACCAGCCATGAGCACTTGCGGTCTTCAATGTCAGTTCCAACCTGTGCAGAAGATGCCAAGTACCTCATAATACTGCTTGTGGATGAAAGATGGGATAGCAAAGAAGAGCATGTATAGCAATGAGAACCTTACCTTGCCTGTCACTTTGGGGTCTCCATAGCAATCCAGATAATCATTCTAACAAAAGGAAGAGATGTACACAACCACTCAGTAAATAGACTTTGCGACTGTAGGAACGACATGGATTTAGTTAGTTACTCACCTGTATCTGAAAATATGCCGTTATCTCTACTAGGATGCCCTTCACATCTGAATGGTCTTCGATATTTTCCCCTGCCAAGATCAGTGCACATGCAACCTGGGGTGAAAAGAGGAAGTCGATTAGCGCATCTCTTAAAGTAGCTGCAGAAGTGCATGAACTGAAGCTGAGATTTTGCAACTTACTGGCAGGTAAAGTGAGTAATAAGCGCTTTTGTATTCTGTGATCCTGTTATATCTGCAAGAGGCATTGATGATGTCACATTTTTCAACTCTCCACAAAATGGAAGCTGGTTCAGGTACTAATCACCACTTACAATGTCAATGAGTACTTAGCTAGATCCTTGTCGTTGGTGGTAATTAAATCGATCATCTGTCCAGAGATCGATTGGAACTCAACCTGTACACAGGGGAGGAGGATGAGTAAACAAACCACATCAAGTGGTACCTCAAAATAAGATGGGATACCATCTGTAACCTCACCCAAAACAGTTGCGGGGATCACGTTACCTCATTGAACAGCTCAACCAGATCCACGTAGTATGGCTTCTTTCTGAAGTAAAGCTTCAACATCCTACCAATATGGTTGCGGAGAACTAGAGCATCATTTACAGCAATCATACCAACCTATGCATGTAAAGGCAACAACAAGTCAGAATGTTGGCATTTGCAACTGATCAAGACAATAGCAAAAGGATTCGTGTCCAGCATATCAACACACCCCAGGTAATGTATGCCAGCACGGTTGTCCTCGACGCATGTGAGAGCGATCCACAATATCATCGATAATGAGAGCACATCCTTGAAACTGGGGGGGAAAGATGCCCCAGTGTCAAAATTTACAGACAATCATGCTCAAGCCTGGCACTCAGTCAATCGAGGCAAAGTGGCAGTGAGTAGTAGTAACACATCTATTTACCCATTCAATACACCAACCGAGTACACAAGCGAGAAAGACTTCATCTTCAGTTAATTCTTGCCCTTCCCTCAATGTCTTGTAGCAACCAAGAACTGAAAGCCCTCTGACTAGCTTGCCTGTGTGTACCAAACAAACAACATTGCAAGTTCCTTCCTGTATATGCCAAACCTTTTGAACTGATCAAATGCAGAGGAACTAACACTGTTGACTGTACCTTTAGGTATATTGTAGTCCATCACCTGCAGCAAAATAAGAACGTACATTTACAAACATCAATAATTTAGAAATCAACATCACAAACTTAACTTTACATCATCACAAACGCGAAATGACTAATGATTATGCTGAATCCTAATCGTAAATCTAGGGATCATCAATCTGACCGTAGAGGGTATCAATTTGCAGCCAAAACTCAATTGATGTTGGTTTATCAAAAGGATCGAACTTGGACACCCTTTTCTGGGTTTTCAATCCAAATGCGACCCGTTTAGATCACGTTCAAAAGACTAGAACCATTGTCAAAGTTGGGTGAAAGATACATAAGTTATGCACTACATTAGAACCCCAAAGCGGCGAAGAAGAAAGAAAGGCATAAACTTGACGCAGGGTGCGAGGAAAATCACAGTAATTTACAGTGAGAGGAAGCAAAGCTTACAGAGTCCACCCATTGTCTAGACGTCGAGTCGAATTCAAAAGCAGGGTCTTCGAAAATTTGGGTTTTTAAGATTGAATAGACTTCCATGAACTTGGATTTCGCATCCGCCATTGTTTGGAGAGGGATGGGAAGCGTTTTTCTCTTGGTGTGTGGAGTCTGGACAGTAGCTGCCTAGAGGAGGAAGAGCTGATGAAATTTCTGTTCTTCCGCTGTTTGTGGCGACCAAATGAACAGAGGCGTTAAAGGGCGGGTTGGGTTGGATTGGTGAACCATCGGGTTGGTTAGTTACGTGCCCGTTGGGTTGCGGGTCGGTTAAGTCGCCATTTAGTACTGATTGCTGAGCAGTTTACGACTTATGAGTTGGTTTTGGTTGGATTACAAAATTTGCGGTCAATGAACAGGTTGGGTGAATGGTGATGACTGATGAATCGTTTGAGTCAACCGATATGGTTACTCTCTTAATTATAAAACTAAATTAATATTTTTGATTAGGAATAAAGTTTAAAATTTATTCCTGATAAGTTCTTAAAAAATTAAGAAAACTTTATAAAAAATAAGGTTATAGATTGAATATTCAAAACTTGTTACAAAGTACCTTATAATACTTTTGAACTTACGAAAATTTCGTCATATAACTTGTATTAATATGAGCACAGGCGGAGGCAAACAATATATGTTTATACTAAAGATGGAACACAACACCCAATATGAAATCTCGTCATGGTTGTTTATGAAAATACTAATTGTATGAGCCGTTATCTTTTATATACGAAAGTAAATTATTTTGATATTATTAATTTAATTATATTTATTAAATATTTATATATTTATAATACAAAAAGAGGATAGAGGTAGTTTTAAATTCTGCCTCCATCATTAGATATATGAGATTATATCTAACGTACTTGCTACCAACTGTCGAATGTCTTCCATTTTATAATTATATGAGTAGGCTTTCGTTAAAGGATTGAAGCCATTCTAAAAGTATTCTCATGGCTTAGGAACTGTTCACTAAGATCGAATCAACGCTCTAAGTATGGCGGTTTGTAGCGTGATCGATGGACCAGAAGGGTTTAATCCAAAATAATAGTTATCATTATCAATGTTTAACCAGAATTACGAAAAGAAAAAAACTTAGCTACGAGATTTGAACTTGAATACCACCACCTGTCGACGTATGAATGGGCAACTCTCCCGCTTTTGGTGGGCAAGCCAAGACAAAGACAAAGGGATTCACTGGATTTCTTGGCCGGCCATTTGTATCAGCAAGTTTCGGGGGGGACTTGGCTTCCGGGACTTTGATTTGTTCAACATAGCTATGCTGGCAAAGCAAGCTTGGAAACTGCTGTCCTCACCATCTTCCACTCTTGCTCAATTATACAAGGCCCGATACCACTCTTCCTGTGACTTTCTCCACGCACCAGTTGGTAATCGGCCGTCATGGGCATGGCAAGGAGTTTTACAAGGCCGCACACTACTTCTCAAAGGTTTAAGATGGCAGGTGGGCTGTGGCACAAATATCCGAATTCTTGATGATCCATGGCTGCCTACTTCTCCACCTTCCACCCCCTCTTTACTCCCAGGTAGTAGTTTGCCAAACCCTTTTGTAGCCTCGCTCATTAATCCTCTGACACGGTCGTGGAACCAGCAACTTCTCCATAGTCTGTTTACCCTTGATAGCATAAAATTGATTCTCTCCATCCCCATTCCGCTGTCTCCTAAGCCGGATCGCCTGATTTGGCACTTCTCGGAGTCTGGTGTATATACTGTGAAATCAGGGTACCATGTGCTATCCGATGAACGGGCTGAGATCTTTAATACTTTGCCCCCTCATCTTGATTCTCGGTTCTGGAAAGTGTTGTGGAGCCTGCCGGTGCCGCCGAAATTGCGAGTGTTCTTGTGGCGGACTGTGCGTGGCTTTCTCCCTTGCCTGGACATCCTCCAAGCTAAGACTCTTTCTAGTTCCAATTTATGCCCAGTCTGCTCTGATGCTGTTGAAACCATTTCCCATTGTATGTTTGACTGCAGGGTAGCACGAGAAGTTTGGGATTTGGCGGGTAAGTCCCACCTTCGGATGACTTTAGCTGCGTTTCCGGCCGATGTGGCCTGGTCCCAAGTCTTATCCTCCATGCATCTAAGTAAGGTCGAGATGGCGGAGTTGGTCTTCCTTTCCTGGCGCATCTGGAAAGCCCGCTGCTGGGCTTGCTATGATGGCGTGCAGTATAGGGCTGGACCCCTGTTTTGGCAGTTTCGACAGCAGCTAGAGGAGTGACATTGCGCAGCCTCTCACCAGGAGAGCTCTGGAACCAACCGCCATCGGCATGATCCCGCGTCGACTATCGCCTCATGTCCGCAGGACGGATTGCTAGTTCGCTTCGATGGAGCAACCCGACAAGGTGTGGGTGGCAGCATTGGATTCGTTGGCTTCTCCCCGGCAGGATCGATAACCTGTGCGCACGGTAAGTACTACGTCGGTTTATTTGATCCATTTCTATTGGAACTGTTGGCATTAAGGGATGCAATGGACTGGTGCTTAACCCGGGGTATCTTTTCTGTTTGTTTTTGTGGGGATTCGCAACTGGTGATTCGGCGAGCTTCGGAGGATATACAGGATCACAATCGAGGCGGGGCGATACTTGAAGAAATCAAATTGATGAAAGCATCCTTCGCGTTCATTCGGTTTTTTTTTCTCCCCGTAGAACTAACAGGGCTGCCCATTGCGTGGCGAAAACAGCTCTTGCATCGGCTAATCAGCATATGGCTGATTTCTGTTATCTTCTTTTTAATTCTTTGTAATGCCCTATCTAATACATTCTACCTTAGCAAAAAAAAAAGGGCAATGTCTATTTTTTACCCAAACCTTTTTCAGATTCTTTTATTTTAACCAAACCTATTGAATTCCTAAAAATTATCCAAACGTTAACTCTCCGTCAACTTTTCTGTTAGTAATGCTGACTAAGTATGACCATAATGAGTTGACTTCTTACGTGACAGTCAGAATACCATCATTTACTATTTTTAATAAAAAGATTATCAAAAAACAAAACAAAATCCCACCCCTCACGTGGACGAAATAAGTAACAGTAACAGAATGAATGCCCAGACTTTGATAAATTATAATACGTCTGGATAATAAATAGAATTTCTATAGGTTTGGTTAAAATAAAAGAATCTGAAAAAGGTTTGGGTAAAAAATAGACATTGCCAAAAAAAAAAAGATTTGAACTTGAATAGAGAGTGTGCTCGGAGATAGTCCCAGTTTTGGGCCCTTAGTAAAGCCCGTTTTATTAACTATGGGCTTCAGCCCGTCTAGCCTAATACGGGAACTCCTACGGTCCACATGGAGTCAAAGGTCAAGCCCATCTCTCCACTATTTCAATCCAAGGAGTCAAAGCCTAATCTTCTTCTCACTTCCCTCTTACCTCCTAGACAAGGCAAGTAATTCCCTCAGCATATATGGGCAACACCAAAAAAAATGGGTCATGTTCTCTGTTTTGGGAATACGTTAAAGGGGGAAAATTATCATATCATACCTGTGAATAGTTAGGACATTTAGGAATAAATAGAAGGATATTTAAGTAATTGGTCTGATTTTATTTATTTTCGCTCGAATGAAAAAAATAAAGGATCTCAAAGAATAGATAATTTCTTTTGTTTAGTTATCTAATCTTTATTTAGCGGATCAATGATTAAGTAGCCAGTTAACAATAATAAATGATGCCGATGGTAAGATAGCCTAGTTGGTAAAGGATTGGGTTTTGGGTTTGAAATGTGACAAGGTCCCAAGTTCGAATCTTAGTATCGCCTTTTTGGCCTTCCCGAAGGCACCTTTGGGAGACCAAGTCTTCCCGATAACGGTAGCACAACGTCGGCCATTACGCTGCGACAAAGTCCTTGATGGTTAATATGCAGATACCCCACTGTCACTCATGTGGCATGTGGATTGCTGATGTTCCTGGATTATCAAATAAATAAATAAATAAAAACAATAATAGAAGACACCATGACAATTTAAGACTGAATTTCTTATCCACTCAAAACAATTCAAAACCCATATCATCCATGACTAGAAGTTCTAACGATTCACAACCGTCTAATAATAAAATAAATCATATGAAAATTTTATCAAATCCAAATCAGTAATTGGAGTTGGTAGGTCTCGATTCATGTTATCCTACTTGTTTCTTAAACTGTTTTTTTTATATCTAAATTATGAATCTATCAATAAAACCGGGCGGCTCATTCGGTTCTCCACTTATGAATCGTGTAATATAATAGAGCTAGATCAGAACCCTCAACCGCAAATCTATTACTCCGAACCAACCATCCGAGAACTAAGAGCTCGTTTGCTTCATGGATTTGAAAAATAAAGGTTTTGGTTAAAACTTGGGTTTTACAAAACAATGGATATATATGATGGAATTGCCCCATTTGGTTTTTAGTACAAACCATCGTTTGCTTGCTGGATTTCATGATGGATTTGACATTATTATATTTGTGCTTGTATTAGGAATTTACCTTAGTGTCCTTATTGAGTATTATTTATATTTACATTATAATTTTTGTTTAAAACAAGTGTCATCCAACAGGTTCGTCCCACCACCACAATCGGAATAAATGAACATCATTCATCAATAACAGCATCATATCATACACAACTATATCAGACAATTCCTTAAGGTTTTCAATATTACAAAGTATGCTTTGCGATTAATCACGCAGTGCTTTCGTGCAATGAATAATAATAATAATAAAATATTGGATGCAAATGAATACGCACTTCAAGTTGGTAATTATTAGTAAATGAAAGAGGATGAGCAGACAATCAGTGAAATAAGCAGGGTTTTAAAATCGTAAAAAGTCATCATGGACTATTGTACCCCAAGTCCCAACTCAAATCCCCACCTCTTAGGGGGTTGGAATTCTCAAGTCTTGTGGGGTCCGCGGATTTATTCCTCCTAAATTCATCAAGCAAACAACGGATTGTGTACAAAGTCCATGCATCATACCTGGATTTTTAAGTACTTAAAAAATCCACGATCAATTCCACGAAGCAAACGAGGCCTAAAATCTTACTCAGCGCGCGCCGAACAGAACGTATAAATAACACACACGTATTTCATTCAATAGAAAGATCCAATTTACACGAGGAATTCAAGAGAAAACGATCATGTACATCAGAACCATTCCCCCCCTTCTCC